TCAGTCAGCATGCCAACATCTTAAATCAAGAAATAGTTTTCTAAGATCTACAGAGATACTCGCAGGAACATCTCAGCAAGCGAGAGTCCAAAAGTGGCAGGCTAAAACTTGGAACCTCAAACAGTGGCTGATACTGAATGAGAAACTCCCTCCTGGGCATACAGAAGACTGGGCGACTTGGAAGGCGCTGAACACAAGATACCATGTGATGTAGAGCCAATCTTAAGAAATGGGGCTACAAAGTGGAGTCCACAACGTGAGTATGGAAAAGAGGAAACCACAGAGCACTTACTAGAATGCAGACACATGCACAATGGAGGACCTTCTCACAGCGGCACCAGAGGCAATGTGGTCAGCTTCTAATGCAGTGCTTCTCAACCTGTGGGTCCCCAGGTGTTTTGGCCTACAACCTCCAGAAATCCCAGCCAGTTTTCCAGCTGTTAGGATTTCTGGGAGTTGAAGACCAAAAGATCTGGGGACCCACAGGTTGAGAACTACTGTTCTAATGTATTATAATTGTATTCTCAATTTGCTTCTGATATGATTTAAAAAACAATCAATTGAATAGATTTTTCAAATCCATTAAAAATCTGTACGGTACATGTCTCTATAACTTCTAGGATGTTTCATTTTGTTTTGTTTTTGTTAAAACAATAGTTTTCTCATAGTTTTACTATATAAGGCATTAGGGTACTGATATTTAGTAATAGTTCCCTCAGGCCCAGCACCACCTTAAAAAAAGACAAATTATATATAACGCTTGGCATTTTGGGGTATTAGTTTTCAATATTCTTCATTTTCTTATCCAGTAGAGTCTGTCCAGATTAAATCAAGACGTTACATTCACTGAAGAGGCTGTGATAAGAAGGATTTGATGCTGATCCCAGGCTCATTTGAAAAAGGTATGAGTGTGAAGTAGATATTCTTATGTAAAAAAAAAAGACACTTTATTATGATGGACAAACTCTACTGAATAGGAAAATGAGAAAGTTTTAATACAGATGATGGTACTGCATGCATCAGTCAAGAGCTAACATATTAGGAAGGTGGACACAAACCCAGCACACACAAAAATGCTTTTTGACATACACTACATTGGCAGGCTTTCAAATAGAAATGCTATTTTCTTCCGCTGAATCAAGTCTAGTAAGTTTGATAATGCCATTTTCCTCCCAAATTGCCATTTGTTGTTGTTCATTCGTTCAGTCGTCTCCGACTCTTCGTGACCTCATGGACCAGCCCACGCCAGAACTCCCTGTCAGCCGTCACCACCCCAGCTCCTTCAAGGTCAGTCCAGTCACTTCAAGGATGCCATCCATCCATCTTGCCCTTAGTCGGCCCCTCTTCCTTTTCCTTCCACTTTCCCCAGCATAATTGTCTTCTCTAGGCTTTGCTGTCTCCTCATGATGTGGCCAAAGTACTTCAACTTTGTCTCTAGTATCCTTCCCTCCAATGAGCAGTCGGGCTTTATTTCCTGGAGGATGGACTGGTTGGATCTTCTCGCAGTCCAAGGCACTCTCAGAACTTTCCTCCAACACCACAGTTCAAAAGCATCTATCTTCCTTCGCTCAGCCTTCCCTAAGGTCCAGCTCTCACATCCGTAGGTTACTACAGGGAATACCATGGCTTTGACTAGGCGGATCTTTGTTGCCAGTGTGATGTCTCTACTCTTTACGATTTTATCGAGACTGGACATTGCTCTCCTCCCAAGAAGTAAGTCTTCTGATTTCCTGGCCACAGTCTGCATCTGCAGTAATCTTTGCACCTAGAAATACAAAGTCTGTCACGGCCTCCACATTTTCTCCTCTATTTCCCAGTTGTCAATCATTCTTGTTGCCATAATCTTGGTTTTTTTGATGTTTAGCTGCAACCCGGCTTTTGCGCTTTCTTCTTTCACCTTGATTAGAAGGCTCCTCAGCTCCTCCTCGCTTTCGGCCATCAGAGTGGTGTCATCTGCATATTTGAGGTTGTTAATGTTTCTTCCAGCAATTTTCACCCCAGCTTTGCATTCATCAAGCCCCGCACATCGCATGATGTGTTCTGCATACAAGTTAAAAAGGTTGGGTGAGAGTATGCAGCCTTGCCATACACCTTTCCCAATCTTGAACCAGTCTGTTGTTCCGTGGTCAGTTCTTACTGTTGCTACTTGGTCCTTGTACAGATTCCTCAGGAGAGAGACAAGGTGGCTTGGTATGCCCATCCCACCAAGAACTTGCCACAATTTATTATGATCCACACAGTCAAATTGCCATTAGCTGATTATAAAATGATAATTGTAAATTACCCTGATCACATGTAAAGCTTATATTTAGCACTGGATGGTGCTTTCAAGACATGGGGGCATCTAAATGTTTTACCCTACTTGCCATCACTCTTTTGATACATTCTGTCTATTACATCTATACCAGTGGTTCTCAACCTGTGGGTCCCCAGATGTTTTGGCCTTCTACTCCCAGAAATTCTAACAGCTGGTAAACTGGCTGGGATTTCTGGGTGTTCTAGGCCAAAACACTTGGGGACACACAGCTTGAGAACCATCAACAAACTAAGTCTGATTAGCTCCCTTGCCTCTTCAAGCTAATCTTACTCACAGCCATGATAGCAACATGGAATGCGAATGTTCAAATGACAATGGTCAAGATAATATGAACATGATCAATGACAGCAATGAAGTAGCTTATAGTTGTGAGAAACCTCTAAAGAAAAAAGAAGAAGTCTAAGGAAGTGTCTCTTGGCAGTGATCTTGCCCTTAACACAAGGGAGGGAAAACAATAGAACATAGGCCATATGTGAACTATTTCTTTGCATCTCAACCACCTCGAATCCCTAGATTACCATTCTTTTTCTTTCTATGGGCCAACAAATTAACCTATACTGTTGCCCAAGATGTCATTGAGAGCAAAATTTCATAGTAAAACACCTCCAACCCATCTTCCTTTTAAAATGTACTTGTAATACAAAGTATCGCAATCACCTCAGAAAACCCAGGAATTCCAACCAAAAATGTATTAGGAAGGTACATTATCAACCTGGCCCCACTCCTGTTAGAATTGCTTTCCTACATTTTTGTTTCTTTAAAAAAATCCTTTTTCTGGCTCTGCTACAAGTTATGATGGGGGAAAGGGTGAAAATACTAAGTCATTTTTATTACTGTTTTAATAATTTATGTTTTATTGCTATTTAAATTGTAATTGTTATTTTTTTTGGAATTTATTTGTTGCACATCAAATTGTTGCCAGTTGCGAGGCCGCCCTGAGTCCCCTTTGGAGTGAAAAGGGCAAGGAACAAGTATGGGAAATAAAATAATAAACAAAATAATTATTTTTAAAATTGACAATATAAATTTATTTATTTATTTATTTACCATGTTTATATACCGTCTTTCTCAGCCCGAAGGTGACACAGGGTGGTTTACATTTGGCACAATTTGATGCCCCCAACAACATAAAAACAATTAAAACATTAGCATAAAAATATAAATTCATTTAAAGTCAATATAAACAATAAAAGCATATATCCTCAGCATCTCCTTACTAAAATCATTGTTCAATCACATCATCCAGATGTTCCGTGGGTCAGTCTCTGCCTGTTACATTGTATTTGCAAATGCTTGCTCAAAAAGCCAAGTTTTAACTTCTTTGCAAAATGGTAAGAGGGAGGGGGCGACCTAATATCCCTGAGAAGGGTGTTCCACAGCCAAGGGGCCACCATTAATAAGGCCCTGTCTCTCATTCCCCCCAAATGCATCTGTGAAGAAGGCGGGATCGAGAGCAGGGTCTCCTCAGATGATCTTAAAGTCCTAGATGGCTCATAAGGTGAGATACGTTCGGACAGGTAAGCTGGGCCAGAACATTTCTCTTCCTGCTAAAGTCAAAAGTACCAAGTGTGTTTGGGTTCATTTGAGTGAAGGATAGAGTGGGATGACTATGGTGATGGGGACTGAGAGGCCAGAAGATGTAGGTATGCTCATGGGGCTCCATAATTATATATTTTAGGGCTTCAAAAGTTTATTTCTGATGTCCACTTTAAGCCAGGCTCAATTCACCTGTAACATCCTTAAAATGTTTTATTGTTATTTAATTATCATTATTATTTTATTCGTACACTATTGATCAATGACCTTGCAAACAATTAAACTGCGGTTAAGAAACAAGCTAAAGCATTTACTTGAGACAAAAAAGTAGCTATTACATAATGATCCTTTAAAGCTTTTCATTTTCTTCTCTCACTGCTTGAAATGTGTAGAACTCGCTATCAATTTTATCTGATACATGAAATGTGGTGCAATATATCCTCTAGCCTTTGACATCCCCTCTTTCCATTCTCTACTGTACAACTCACCTCAAAACCTTTGCAATTTTATTACTAGCTACTTTTACATTAGATGATTATCTTGGGGACATGAAACAGAATTCACCATTTTGTTCTTCATTCAAGAAACAAGGGACTATGAAGATTTAATATAATCTCATCAGTAGCCCAGAATACTGGAGAGGAGCCCGCAGGGTTCTGTTCTGTCTTCCAATAGCTCTTAGCTACAGAGAAAACAAGATTTTTTATTATTATGATTAAACATCTTTTATTAAAGCTTTCCCTGACATTTTTCATACTTTGCTTCTGTCGCCTATTACTTTTTTTTTTCATTTTCTCTCTTTCCATTTTCCTTTGAGGTCTCTGTGTTCCTCTTACTTTTGTTGCAAATGACATTTGCTATTCCACTTTTTCTCCTTTCCTTTGCTGCCTTTGCTTCTTCCATCTGGAGCTGATCTTCTAGGTCAGAATGGAAATATGGAACATATGCTTGGATGTCATTGTTCATTTTAAAGTGAGACATGAACAAAACAGCATTCAGTGTGCATTTTTATAATGACTTTAACCAGGTACATCAAGAAGGCTCATTTAGACACACAACAGACATCCCAGAATCTACCTTTTATAACTAAGCTTCAGCATCAGAAATATTATGGTTCAAAGGAAAAGCACTAGATCCTTTTACTTACACACATCTATCGATTCATCTGAATCATCTGGACAATCAGGTTCTCCATCACACAGCCAGTTTCGAGAGACACATGTCACAAGATCATGGCAAAGAAACTCTCCTACATCACACAAGTGTTCTGCAAACAAAACAAAATATGAATAATGAAATGGTTAATGGATAACAGAAGATGAAAATATGTCAGCCAAATAAAATTAGACCTTTAATGCATGTTAACAAAATTTTAAAATAAGATTTTTGTATGCATGAAATCTGCAATACTTTTTGTACATGGAAAAGTTATATATTGGATATTAGAAACTCTTGAATATATAATATTATTTTTAAAACATGTGATGTAAATTTCATATGAATTTGCTAACATAGATATCAAGAGCCATAAGTATATAACCAAAAGGATTCATATGCCATAGTGTATGAAATCATCCTACAAATACATAAATATGCCTTGCCAATATTCACTTGTGATGCATCTCCAGAGTTCCAGGAAAGCAAACAAATTCATCAATGAGGTTTATAATTATGATTCATTAATGAAGTTCATAACTACCTTATGATGTAGCCAATAAGCAAAATAACTCACCCAATTCATCTTATTTATTTTTGCTACTGGAGAGCACATGTAGTCACTGTATTCCAGAGATCTAGGCAGCCTACTCTGCATATTATGCAAATTGTTTTAATTATGAAATTAACATGTGGGTCAGAAAAGGTGAATAGATCTGTAAACTCTTTTCTGGTGCACAAGCGAATTTAATAATTCAATTTGCATAATATGCAGAGTAGGCTGCAAAATCAATGAAACTGGAATATAGCAACTACATATGGTTTTTTATTCTTCCCTTCTTTTATTTATGTAAAGTTATTTATGACTTTGGACTATATTGGGCACCTTTGTATATAATAATAATAATAATAATAATAATAATAATAATAATAATAGTCCATCTTGTGTGTATTCAAGAGTCTTAAGCCTAGATAATGCTAGGTTTAAGAGAAATTTATAGAGAAATATAACTGGTTCAAACTATTTTGCTGTCCCAGGTGAAGGACAAGACAGTGGCTACATAATCATCTCCCCCTCTTCTTGACATTTCTCTTCGCCCTCAGATGAGGAGGGGGGAGGAAGGATGCCAATTGCCAAGGAGCAGAAGTAGGTGAGCTTTGAGAAGTAGGTGGACTTTGAGCCTTCTCCTCCTTGGCAATTGACATCCCTCTGTCCTCTTTTCTCCTCCTCCTCCTCCTCCTCTTGACATCCCTCTGCCTCCTCCTTGCCACCTATATTGGGCATGAGAGAAAGGTGAGAATGGTGCAAACTTAAAATCCACCCCCTTCTCACCTGTGCTCCTCCTCCTTTTTAAGCAATTTCTGACCCTCCTTGTCTCCTGAAGACTGGGAGGGGGTGGAGGACGTCAACTGCCAAGAATGTGGAGGCAAGGAGGGGGTAGACTCGAAGTCCACCCCTCTCCTCTCCTATCCTCCTCCTCTTCCTTCTTCTTCTTCTCCTTTTGAGGTCCTCTTCCCCATCCTCATCTCCAGGAGGAGGCAAGAAGGGTGTGGACTCTGAGTCCAACCCTCTCACTTGAGCTCCTCCTCCTTTTCTTTGGCAATTGATATCCCTCCACTCTGTCTGTCCTTGTATCCTGAAAATGAGGAGGGGGTGAAGGGATGTCAATTACCAATGAGGAGCTTGGGGGAGGAGGAGGAGGGAAAGTGAGTGGGGCCCTCATTTGCTGAGCCCCTTGATGTCCCACACATGGAAGCCCCTCTCCACTGAAAGTTACCTCCTCAAATGTCCCCTTTTTCAGGGAGACACCTGTGTGGTTCCCAGATGTCCTATCTTTATGGAGGCTTCAAAAACTCCACCTTGACTACGGCTTGCGGGAGCCACCTGCTCTGATTAAATCTTGCCTGGAAACTCTAGGCAGGCATTACCATAAGTTGTTGTTGACTTGAGAGCTCATAAAAACAACTTGGGCAAGGGTTTCCTTAAAGCTTGTCTTGTCCTGGACCAGACTAAACAACTTAATAAAATGTTATTAAATATACCAGATTCTATATGTCTAGATAAGGAAGACTACAGGGATCCTGCACCTTTAATCGCATAAATGGAAATGTCCAATTCAGTTGCTGAATTCCCTCTTCTAAACAAGTATATGTTTATGTGGGAGTCTTTTTTCATGTGGCATCCTAATCAAGATTAGATTGGCAATATCTGTATACAGGCTTGGTGTAAGCAGGGCAAAACATACTTCCAGTGTGCTTGTTAAAGCAGTATCAAAGTCTTAAAGAAAATCCTTATTGTTCCATTATGCTAGGGATAGTTATGTATTATTCCCATGGGAACAGCTTGTTATAAGCACCCTATTTATTTTGTTTTGCATGCAGATATGCTGTTTTCAAGGTCAGGTTATGAAAATATCGATGGTGGCATATTCAAATGAATACAGTTCTACTTCCAAAGCAGATGAACCATTTGTATGCTTAAGAATACCTAGTGTGCTATTTTCTTGGCTCAACAGAACATCTAAGTAATGTCTTGCATGTGGGCACATATAATAAAATAACATAGACTGCTGAGTAGTAGAGGCAAATGTTGTTTTAAGCCATCTTGCCTTTGTAGCAAAACCAAACTACTTGTTAATTAAAATGGAGGATTATGGATCCCATGGAGGAGGTTTGGCTTAAAGTAGTCCAAAGCTTCAGTTTTATTGTACCGTTGCTAAAGTGTACACCTGAACTCAAACAGCGGGTAAATCTGTAACCCCAAATGTAATATTTAGTGAATAAATATTGCTTTGTGTGCCTGGAGCCTCCATAAAAGCTACATGCAACTTGCAGTGGTATGCTACATTACATCTGCAGAAGCCTTAACAGTTGCTGTGTATTTCTCTTCAAAAGATCCTAGAGATGAATGCACAATAACAACCTGAGAATAGGAGTAACAGGTCTCCATTTTATAAGTAACATTACTGCTAGATACATGGGATTTGGTATTCATAGGGGGTCCTGGAACCAAACCCCACTGGAAATCAAGGCCTCACTGTAATGATTAAAAAGTTTCCATGTGGCAGGGGAAAGAAAGGGAGTGGATGGGGAGGGACATATGGGGTTCTATCAAACGTCAAAGCTAATATTGCAATTTCACTTTGGCAAATTTTGTTGTAACTTGTATTTCCCTAGCACTCAAAATGCCTATACAGTTCCTCGTGTAGGTAGCACATATGGACTGGAGTTGCTGTGTGGAATCTAATGCCACAAGAGTCATGACCATTTATATAATATTGTTTGTGAGCATTCTTTTGTTCCTAATTAGGATCACAGTTCTTTCCCACTTCCAACCTCCTCAGGGGAAAAGGGAGAGGCGATGCCTTTAACAGCAGAGCAAAACTGGACATAAAGCATATGGCATGCAACATCTGTTGTTTGCCCTAACATAAAACATATACAAAATCTTAGGTGTAGGAAAATGAGCTCTTTCTAGTAGCTAAACCTGCATCTCCATAGCATGACTCTGTATTACAGCATTTCCTTTTCTCATCATATCAGAATGGTAGAAAATAGGTCCAGATAATTCTTGGGAAAATACAGTTACCCTTGAAAAACTATGAGCAAATTTATTTAGACTCTTGCTCTAAATTGATTGATTCATTAAAATACACACATACATAAACTAATAGTCTTAGTCTATGTTCACATTTACTCAAAATTCAGGACATATAGGACTATCGTCTTAGTTACCACACTGGCTATCTTAAATATGGGAGAAGCAATATAATTAGGAAGCAACTCTGTGTAACTTGCCATTTATTATTCTGAGAAAGTTAAGAATAGGGATAGCTAAGGACGCACATGTCTATGAACTATTAAGGTAGAGACCTTTCTTTTCTGATACATTTCATTATGCTTTATACTTTAATCTTTTCTTAAAAAAATAAAATATATTCTTTCCTCCTTCATTTTAACTGTCAGTCAAAATACATCATAACCAGACTAATGTCTGTAATAATGAACAGAAACGCATGACAGCAACCTATGAATAGCAACATAAATGTCTAAGTAAATGGAAGAACCAGCAAGGAAATATACGAAACAGGAGAACTGTCTTATCACCTATTTCAAGGAAAATGAGAGCCAGGAACAGAAAAAGGAAACACACACACACTTTTTGTATGAGAGGGAAAAGGAGAGGTGAAGACAGAACAGGTTTCTGTCATTCCTGCAACACTCCTCTGAAGAAAAATAATGACATATTTTTATAAATGAGTTTTTTGAATATAGCCTTTGTGGTATTAAAATAATTTCATATGGATGAATCCAGCTTCAAATTAGAATCCCTGCCAAAAGTCTTTATGAGTCATTTTGTGTTCTGCTATTTTTGTTATGCACCTTCCTGTCAACTCAAACTTATGGTAATACCATTAGAAGGTTGTGTTGGCAGTGGCAACATTTATTCAGAGGAAGTTTGCCATCTACAGAGGCTGAGAGAGTCTGGCTTGTTCAAGGCCACCCAATGGCTTTCCATGACTGAATGGGAATTCAATCCCTGGTGTCCCAGAGTCCTAAGGCCCTGCTTTAAACTAGATTATATGAGTCCCCACTGCCAGATGATCTGGGCTAAACAGAAAACCTGGGATCAGATTCTGGGATATAGGGTCTGTCTGTAAGGGCTCTTAGTCCAAAACACAAACTACTGCTTCACACCAGCTCTCTTTGTATTCCCCTTATTCAAAAAATATTGTAAGCAGTGCAGTACGTTGGGGAAGGAAGAAACTCACATCTGTCCTTGTACCCAGGGCTAGGATTCATCTCACACTTTACATTTATTCTATGTCATATACAACGAAGTAGTTCTGACGTAATTTGGCCAGATACGCCAAAGCAAAAGCATAGAGCATCTTTAGGAATTATGTCATGCAAGTAGTTCTCTAGCTGCCAGGCTCATTGCTTACCTATTGGGCCTATAGACATGTACTTCATTGACTGGGCCTTCTCTTCTAAGAAAATATTGTGAATGCTTTTGCAAAATGGTGCTCAGGTGGAAATATATGATCCACATTGCCTAATCTCTGCATGAATATATTCAAAAAGATGAAAAAGATAAGTGGTGTTTTCTTA